TTATATGTATTTGTGTGAAAAACTTGATCCAGTTTCAGATTTATTATTTGTGCATTGCAGTGACCTTGACACAAGACCTTTCAGGAAGGCAGGCAGCAAAAGCACCTCAGCTGGGACCAAGAAAGAAAGAAGGGATCATTCAAGACATCCTTCGGCTGTGTGGGGCACTTGGTGATTGTCAGGCAACCGACGGGGCTCCAGCGTTGCACAGAAGACCAGAGCTCTGTCTGTAAAGCACTGGCAGCCCAGTGGGCACAGAGCATGTGAGGATTCTGCCCTCACCAATGAGTAAATATGTAAAGGTAGATCAAGACATCTGACTCCCAGAGTTCTACATTGCAGTGCTCTTTCCACTAGAACAATGCCTTTCAAATGCTGACAGGGCTCATGGTTAAAAAAAAAATTAACTCAGTAGCACTACCTAGTACAGACACTCACATTTCTGATCTTTTCTATTTAATTCTATTGCATTTCATTTCTCTAAAATGTTCGGCTTGACACACTACATTGGTTTATGACTCAGCCAAAGGTGGAAAAATACTGCTCAAGAAGATATATTTTTTAAAAAATGTCCTCTAGAATTTCAAGGTCAGCTATAATTCCTAATTTTTTATTTCTCACACAAGTGCATTTGTATCCCAGTACAAAAACACTATCAAACAATCAACCCACAAAAACCAACATAAAGCCATGACAGCTGTCACCTGGGGAGTGGGAGGAAGCTAAGTCTCATCTCCATCAGCTTTCCCTAGAAGCACTCAAGTAAATGCCCGCTCTGAGGGAAACGGCGTTTGCTAAGCAAAAACAGCTTGGTGGCAAGTGACCCGACATCCCAGCTCCCCTTCCATTAGACTGTGGTGCAAAAGAGTCCCATACAAATTCTGGTGCTTCTATTCACAATGAATTTTTTTTTTAATGATTCTGTGTAAGAAGCTTGAATTATTGGATTGGCCAAAAAGTATGTTTAGTTTTTTTTTCCATAAAATAAGACACATTTTTCATTTTCACCAATAACTTTATTGATTTGGATATTTTGAGTATGTCAGCTGTCTCCCACGAGGGAAAACATTGATTATTCTTAATTTATGTCTCGATTTGATCACTATCAACTTCAACTGGTCTACCTGACCATGGAGCATTGTCCAGAGAGACATCTCTAGCACAAAACCGCAAACCACTTTTGACACATTCGATCAGTCACAGCACCTTCTCTATACTGCACAAATCTTTTTTTGTGTTTTAGTTGCATTTTTACCTTTCTTGAAATAATAAAGCATAATATGCTGAAAATGTTGCGTATTTTCTTCCTTCACTATTAAAATGGCTACATGAAAATTCACCAATTTTGAAAAGTTTTTTTAAATGCATACTGATATGATCGCTGTCAGAATACAACCTAACAAAATTGTTTTGACTGAATGAAGTTAAAAACAACTAACTAAGCGCTACTAGAGGTATCTTAAGAAAAAAACAAACTTTTTTGCTGTGTTTGGATGGGGAACAATGAATTTATTAAATAAGTGAATGAGAATCAAAATAAACTACTTTAAATAAACACATTTTAGTGTTTTAAAATCTGTCTCTGAAATTTGCCAATCTTCACTTGAGGGGGGCAGTATATTGAGCCACAGATCTGAATGAAGCACGTACGAGCGGAACATCCATTAAGCCAGTATCTCTTTCGGTGTGCCCGTGAGATATCAGAACAAAGGCAGCACACACGTTTTCCTCAACATGAGATGTTTCTACAGCGCTTCCCACTGAAGGAAACGTGGTACCAACAGCATCACTACTTACTCTCAAGCTAGAGATGAACAAACCCCAGTGTCCTCAGAGTTCTTTTCAGAACCGTGTTCCCCTAACAAGATGTAAAGGCAGAAATCTGCAGAAAGACCAGAAGATCCCTTCCCATCGTCTATGCCCACAGGCAGCACCCCAGCCCTGAGAATGCAAATTAAGGACAAAAGTGTTCATTCAAGTTCTCGGACTTATACTAGCCTCACCATTCCCCATCCAAGAAGTGTGTCTGAGTTTAAAGGACTCATTTTTGTGACATTTGTCTCAAATTAAAAGATGGTCTTATAAATTTTGAATAAACCTTCCTGTCTTTTCTAAAAAGAAACCTGTTTAAAACTATGTTTGGAAAAACATTCTTTCTATAAAGATAAAATGCATTTTTCCTAGGAAAAAAGAGAAAGCCACTAGCCGCCTGGTACGAAGCACTTGAATGTGGTTGGTGTGACTGAGCAACTGAACTTTAAATTCCATTTCGCTTTAGTTAATTTCAGTAGCCACAGAGGCTAGAAGCCCCCATATGGGGGGCGGTGGGGCACTGCAGGATAGGGAATCAACGCAGTCCTCAGCAGCAGAGCTGTGTCATTGACTTGTCTTAGACTGAAGGCCACCTTTTGAAAAAATGATCTCCTAAGCCAATATTCACTTCTCAGCTTCCTAATTAATAATTCATTCATTCATACTTAAGTTTTCCTCGGAAGTGGTTTTTCAACAAAGTTTGGCCATTTTCATTCTAAAACATGAACGGACTAGACCTGCTGAGCAGAATTCCTTTGGCAACGTTCCGTTTTCCATCTGTGAAACTTAAGCATGGGGAAAGAAGAAAAAAACCCCAAGCTCATCCCCCTCTTGATACAAAGGGAAGAAATGAAACATATAAATTCATACAAAGGCTAATATAACCTCCCAGACCAGCAATTTTCAACTGGCGTGCTGCAAGAATTTTTAAAACATGCAACACCTGACTCTTTAGTCAGGGACACCGACCTCTTTTCCCTTCCACAGTCAAATAAAAAAATGACAGCAGCCAGCACAACAAGACCTATCCAGTGTGAACAAATCAAAATTATACTTCTTTTTTGTTAGATCGACAAGAAATATAATATACTTTTTTTGGTCTGCTGTAGAATTTTGGTAATTAGCTGATGTGCCATGAGATGGAAAGGGTTCAAAATCACTGTCCGGGATGCTTTTATGGGTACATCTGCTCATCCACCCCCATTTATGTTTGCTTCTTTAGACCCAGGGGCCGCTTTCAACAAAAGTCATTCTTACATTTGCCTGACCTCTTAACATGATCAAACCATGACCAGACCCTATAAAAGCATTCTACCTGTAGAAAAACCATTTAAAATGAACACATTCAAATATTCTACTCTTAAATGAGACAAACTGATCAAATGGTCAAAATGCAGTAGCCTAAAGAGAGAAGATGGTTCCGAGAGACTAAAATATGTAGATTATGTCAAGACCACTTTCCAAGCAGGTGGCAAAAGAAACTGCAATTCTCTAGTCAGCAGGGAAGAGACACCCCAAGAAAATATGCTTAAAAATACACTGCAGCCACGCTGCGGTCATAGGACAACTAACTTGAACTTCAAGCAGCACTTGCAATTGCACTCCTTACAATCCCAAGGTCAATGCCAAATTAATTTTGTCAGCCTCTCATCATGCTGACACTTATGTACAAATATACCACACACACAAGCACACAGATTTCAGTAATTTCATTGTGTTTAAGTAGAATAAACTTCTAGAACTTATTTCTAAAAACACCATCAGCTCATTTAACACAAGCAACTTAAGTATACCACACAAAGAATAAAACCACTAACTAGCACCACGTAGGATATTGGGGAAGCTCAAACTATGCAGAGCAAAGTAATTCTAATCCAGCAATGCAATTCAGGTAAGTATCCAACACCATAGATGAGAACTTCATTTTTTCTCTATCACTGCTACCACGTGGTCCTATAGAAGGACTAGAAGCTCCCCCTACACATCCAAAAAGCTTCAGGGATCTGAACAAGATGCATGACAAGGAAACAAAGCATATACTACCCAGGGCTTCAGATCTTCCAAAAACAACAAATGGCATTGCCAGAAGGAGAAAAGGCTTCATCCTGGGCAACTGAGAGCACTCTGACCTAGCTAGACACTGTCAGACTCCAAAAAAGCTGGGTGCTGTCAGTCCTTTTCTTATGTGTGTGGATGAAATCTGTAGGTGCAGCCTGGGCAGGAAAGAGGCAGACAGAGAATCTGAAGTGGGGAACTGCTGTGCTGTTCGACCCTGCGAGTACCCTCCTCTACCGTCTCCACTGAGTGCAGCATCTACTGCGTGATCTGTAAGGAGACTATCCATTATAAAATTCTAGGATAAAAGTCTCAATGTCTAAGATCAGTGCTAGAAACCTCAATGCCTTTTTAATCATCCTAACTCTTAGAGGAAAAGAAGTCAAATGCAATACACAATCCAGAATTTTCACAGCAGGGGCACAAGTTCTCAAAGGTTTCAAAACAAAAAATAAACACTATTTCTCATCTCGTTCTCTAAAAGTCCACTTTAGAACAGCAATGCCCCTGCTTCCCAAAATGCAGTTTAAAGGCAGAAATAAAAATGTACTTAAAGACACTCAGCAGATAAATTAGTTTACCACAGATTAAACTTAAATTTTATTTAATATTCAAATATAAATTTATGAGATCAAACAGATTCTAGTAGGCAAGAGAAATGTACATGAACAGAAAAAAAACTTATTTTTTGTCTGGCTTAAAATGTTAACAGTACAATAACACATTAAATGAAAAAACATAATTAACTATCTTGGTAGAAATATGGTTCAGTCCTTTTTCTAAATTCCCAGTGTTTGTGAGCTATCTTACCTCTTCATTTTATAAGCCCTCAGGTTCTATATAATCCACTCCTATTTCTCTAAAACAGCTTTAAAAGACTAGTTTGACTAAATGTCAATCACATAAATATTATTGAAGAAATTTATCAATACATAATTATGACATTATATATCTGAAAATATCCTTGTTCATTGGGATTCTAAAGAAAAAAACTCAATAAAATTGTTTTATTTTTCTTTTTTCAATAGTCAAAGCATAAAAGCATCGCCATCCCAAAGTGTACTATATATTTAATCATGGCTCCTGAATTAAGCATAACATTATATGTTTCTTTATATACATTAAACTCTTACCTGTATATCCAGCATACCATCCCCAAGAAGCCACCATGCCTAAAAGCCATTTATATATGATTCCTTCAATGTACCAGAAGCACTTATTGTCCAGCAATCGAAGGGGCTGTAGTATAATCACATAGCAGACGTAGGATGGAATCGCAACCAGGTTGTTGGCAACCATGAAGGCAAACCTCATCAGGGCTTTCACGAAGATCCAGCCCAGCCACGGAGCTTCTTCCAAAGTCACAGCCATTCTCACACTGGAGTCCGTCCTGCCTTTCTGAGGTGAAAGGAAAATGCATTTACAAAGGAAAATGGCTTAAACACATCTAAATAGTCACCAACATAGAAATTATTTCCAGCACAAAAAATAAAAGAATATCAAGGGTCTGAGCCTTCCCGGTGTAGTACCTCGGCGATCTCTCCGGGAAATTCCAGAGGGGGACAGAGAGCGAGGGAGGAGGAGCCGCACAAGGTCAAGGGAGCTGTTCACAGAGGCACAGGGTATGTCATAATATATTTAGCAAATGATAATGCTTTTCCCACTAACTAATCGGCGGCCGTCCCTGCACCAAGTCCCACTGCAGTCTGCCGTTGGACTTTAGGGAAGACAAATAGACCCACTTCCTTCAGACACCCTCAGTATCTCCAAACTAAGGACACGAGTGGCAAGAAGACTGAACCGTCTCGATCAGTTTTCCCAGATTCCAGGAACCTGGTACCCTATGCAACACCATTCCTGCACACTGATTCATTCCTGCCAAAGGTCTCTCGCATAGCAAAAAGAATTCGCTAAAAAATGTTTATTTGCGGCAAAGGGGGTTTTTGTTTCCTTTTTTTTTTTTTTAAGAATAAAAGGAGAGGGCCCTAGAAAAGGGCACAAGGTGAAAAGGAGAAAGTGTGTGTGTGTGTGTTTTGGGGGGGGGGCTGTAATAAGGAGAAAAGGAGGAAGGACAAGGATAGGGGGAGGGGAGAAAAAGCCAGAAGGAGGCAAAGGAGAGGGGGCCAGGGATGGACGGAATGAAGTCTCCGACCAGAAGGCCGGGGAGCGGGGGTGAAAGAAGGGGGGACGCCGAGGCGACGACTGCGCTCAGCAGGCGGGTGGAGCCCGCAGCTGTCTCCGCGGGTGAGGACGGGGTCCGGGTGGCGGTCACGGCGCGCGCCGGGCTCACCTCGGCGGGCTCGGACGGCGAGAGGTGGAGCGCGGGGGCGAGCGGGACCGGGGACCGGCGGCCCCGGGCGCGCGAAGGTGGCGGCGGGTGTCCCCGGCCGAGGGGTCGCGGTCATGGACGCGGCGGCGGCCGAGGCGCGGCGCGAGCGGGAGCCTTAGTGCCCTCGCGGCTGCCTGCGGACAGAGGGACGGCGAGGACTCAGAGGCCAGACCTGTCACCGGGGCGGGTCCCGGGGAGGCGGGCGGACGCCCCACGCTCCCCCCTCCTCCTCCAGGCCTACCGCGCCCTGGTCCCCTATGCCCCCGCCGCCACCTCCGCCCGGCCGCAGGACGAAGACACCCCTCGCCCGCCTCTAGGTGCTCCCCCAGGCGCGGCGCGGCCGCAGCCCCCGGGCCTGCGCCCGCCGAGCCGGGAATTACCTAGGGCTGGCCGGGCCCCGGCCCGCGCTACGGGAGCCGGAGGAGCCGGAAGAATGCATGGCCGGCGGCGCGGCCGGCGGAAGGAGGCAGCGGCGGGACCCGGCCCCGCTCCGGCTGCGGCGCGGCCCGCGCCCGTCCCCGGCGGCGCGGACACTCTGCCCCACGGGCCGGCCGCGTTCCTCGGGCTGGCGGGGAGGGGCGGCGACGAGGAAGCGGCGGGAGTCGGGACTGCAGCGGAGCCACCCCCAGAGCGCCCTCTAATGAAGGCGCGCCCGCCGCCGCCCGGGCCGCGCGTCTCGCCGCCACCCGCGGACCCCACTGGCGCGCGGGTCAAGGCCCTCGGGTCAGCGTGGTCCCCCAGGCCGGGACCTCGCTGAGGTCTGTAGGGAGGGAAGAGGCCGCTCGTAAAAGTCTAGAAAGGAGCACCAATCCTTACACCACACGAGGAGCGCTTTGGTCCAAATCGAGAGCCCCTCTTCTGCCAAAACAGCCGTTTTTCATTGTTAAGGCTCTCTCTTCTGACAAGCCTATCACTGCCCAAATTGGGAAGCTGTTTCCTTGAAGACTGAGTACGTCCTCTTTTCTTTGCTAATGAAACTCAGTGGCTCTCAAGGCTTTTCTTCTGAACCTCGCCAGAGTGTAAGGTCTAGCCTAGAGTCACTCTGGAGTTTAAAGTCAATTCACTTTAAGTGTCAGAATTCTTGTTTTTGGAAAGCACCTGAAACATTGACAACTGCAATTCCTCTTCCATCTTCCCATCCCCACTCCCTCAAAAAAGTAAAGGAATCCAGTGGGAATGAGTGGTTTACACAGAGACACTAAAATTAGTTAGCCAAGGAGGGAAACGCACTCGCAGTGCCTGTCATTGAGCAAGTGAACAAAAAATGGTGGCCACAGGTTTCTGGACCGGCGTAGTCTCTCCTGGGGCACTAGCTGCTTCCTATTTCAAGGATTGAGCACCAGAAGGAACATAAAGAAATAGCTTAAGGACCTGCCCACCTGCACATTCTCAAATGACCTGTCTACATTTAAGTTTAAAAAATAAATGTATAGGCCCTGGCCGGGTAGCTCAGTGGGTGGGATCGTGGCCCCATAAGCCAAAGTTGGGGTCAGGGCACATACAAGAATCAACCAATGAGTGCATAAATACACGAAACAACAAATCCATGTTTCTCTCTCCCCAGCCCTCTCTAAAATCAATAAATAAAAATTTAAAATAAACTAATAAAAGCTTGTTACAACCTTTAATCGCATTTGTAAATGGAGATGGGGGCAGTCTTTACATATTTCTAGTGAACTGCCATCTTTAAATCAGAATGTCACCTATTCTGCCCACTGTGAAAATGTTTGTCACTGCGTTTGCTTTGAACTCTTTCTCTCTCTCTCTCTGTAGCTCCAGTTTCTCTTTGGTTCACAGATTAGGGGAAGAAAATTCACCTTATGCTATATGAAAGAACACTTTCTGCTCCCATTCCCTTTGATAATGAAGAAATCCATGAAAGCACAGTGCCTGGCTGAAATAATTTAGTAGATTTCTTTCCATGAAGTATTTGTTTTTATCTATATATGTTATTTCTCTAATTTCACTAATATTGTATTTTAACTATACAGGGCTTAAAAAGGCACCAGGGCCTGTCAGAGAACTTTCCATATAAGTTCAACTGATGTATAGCAAAAGTTAGACATGATCTTTTTTAAACATATATATATATATATATATATATATATATATATATATATATATATATGTATGTATGTATATGTATATATAGAAGAGAGAAAGAAGGAGAGAGGGAGAGAAACATCAATGTGTGGTTGACCCTCATGTGCCCCCAACTGGGGATCTGTCCCACAACCCAGGTATATGCTCTGACTGGGAATCGAACCAGTGACCTTTTGGTTTACAGGCCTGTACTCAATCCACTGAGCTATACCAGCCAGGGCAGATATACCTTTTCTATTCTCTGTATTCCCTCTGAGAATTTAGGTGCCGAGGTGATAGCATCTTTAAATCTCATGAGATAAATAATGTGTATGCTGTAGATTTCTGTTCACAATGCATCATTATAGTTTGAATAAGATAGGTGAGGCACATATTTCTTCCAAAAATAAAGAGTAAATTCCCCTAAGATTCCATTTGGTCCATCCCACTCAGCATGATAAACATTGGCTGACACCTGGAGAGATATAACCTGCAATGGGGTGTATACCTGGTTCCTGGACCACAGAGCATCTGCCGGAACACCAGATACACCAGCACTTGCTGAGATGTGACGAGTACCAGCCAGCTAGGTCCAGAAAAGAGCCAGAGATTGGGTAGGACCTTGCACAGCGGGTCTCACACTTTAGTGTGCAAAAAACATCACTTGGGGTGTTTATTGAAAAGATAGATTGTTGAGCCTCATTCCAGAAAATTTTAATACTCTAGGTCCAGAGGAGCCTGGGAACCTACTTTTTTTTTAAGATTTTATTTATTTATTTTTAGAGAGGAAAGGGAAGGAGAAAGAGAGAGAGAGAGAGAAACATCAATGTGGGGTTGCTGGGGGTCATGGCCTACAACCTAGACATGCACCCTGACTGGGAATCGAACCTGCGACACTTTGGTTTGCAGCCCACGCTCAATCCACTGAGCTACGCCAGCCAGGGCAGGAACCTACTTTTAAAAAACATCATAAGTGTTTCTGATGAAGGCAGTATGCAGACCCTGCTTTAAAAAACCCCCGACAAGAAGGTATCCTGAGATAAACACATCCTTTTCTAGACCCTTCATAATTTTTAATCCTTTGTTCATATCTGTTTTTATCTATATCAGTTTGCTGGGGCTGCCATAACAAAGTACCATGGACTAGGTAACTTAAACAATGCAAATTTATTTTCTCACAGTTCTGAAGGCTGGAAGCCTAAGATCAAGGTATTGGCAGGGTGGTCTCTACTGAGGTCTCTCTCCTTGGCTTGTAGCTGGTCTCCCTGACCGTTTACATGGTCATCTGTGTGTGTGCATGTGTCTGGTGTCTGTCTGTCTGTGTTCTAAACTCTTCTTACAAGAACACCACTCGCGCTGGATTAGGGCCTGCCCTAATGAGCCCACATTACTTAATTACCCTTTTAAAGGACCTATTTCCAAACACAGTCACGTTATGAGCTGCCGAGGGTCAGGGCTTCAATATAGGAATTTTGGGGGCATAAAATTCACCCACAATGTCCTCCTTCCATTTTTTATCCTGCAGAATTTGCTATTGAAGTAGGTTCTGATGGAAGGGACATGGGGGCCCTACTGTTGAGTATTTCAGCTGTTCTCTTGACTGGTTCCAACCTCATTAGACTTTTCTCGAAGCTAAGCAAGCAGAGCAATACACTGTGTTCCAAGTGTAGATATGCCTTTTCTTTCCCCGAGGTGAATGAGGGGCTTATCTTTCTCACTTCCTTGACCAGTGGGGCACATTCAGTTTCAAGATAATTCAGTGCATACAATGGGTAAGAAACTACACTTGGGCTGACGTCTTCAGGGCTGAAATTTCTTCTGTTTCAGAGTTCACTTTATTTATTTATTTATCCCTCACCCAGGGATATGTTTATATATTTTAGAGAGAGAGGAAGGGAGAAAGAGAAACATCGATGTGAGAGAGAAACATTGATCTGTTGCCTCCTGTATGTGCTCCAGCCAGGGATCGAACCTGCAACCTGGGTACATGCCCTGACTAGAGAGCAAACCCTCAGCCTTTTGGTGTACGGGACGATGCTCCAACCAACTGAACCACCACCCAGCCAGAGACAGGTTTCATTTTATAAAAATATTTTGTATTCTTTCACCTTATATATAGTACTTTCCTCCTGCCTATCCTTTTTTTTTTTTTGCCCTCAGCCCACTTAAGCAGCCTCCTGGGATTTTTCTATAGCTCATCTCCACAGCACGGCAGGCAGACAGATGTATGAAGGCTCTGAATGACTGTGACAGGAAGATGGGGAAAGCCCATTCTTCAGGGGAGACAGATTCAGAAGGCAAGGACTTTTCTTTAATGACTAATGAGCTTCTAGTTCTCTATCTTGCTACCTTAGAGCCTTGTTTATCAAAACCCCGACATGAATTAAGTCAAGAAATTCAGAGCCTTCCTATAAACCCCAACAGAGGAGAAGGAAAATAGGCCCCACCCTATACCACAGGCGTTACAGTTTCAGTTTCAAAAGCCCACATTGGAACCACAAGAGGATGGTCCTTCGTAAAAGAAATAGGACTTCTCACATTTCCTGGAGTCTCCAGACATTTTAAAACAATCGAACCACAATACCTTAGAAGGTTTAATTCCACCTACCTGGTCCACATACACACAAATTAGGTTATAACCAGGGAGGGGCTCCCTTGGGCAGAAAACCCCCCCGGGGCCCTCTCTTTTTCCTCGTGGCAATTATAAAAACATTTCACCTGCCTGTGCCGGCTGCTGCACTAAAGCTCCAATGAACAGTTTCCTCTCCAGGGGAAACCCCATCAGCAGTGTGGTGGATGTGCAATGACTTGGCACAGGCGTCCACAGCGCTAGAAACAGTTGCAGCTCAGAAGTTAGCACCCCGAGAGAGTCATGCTTTCCGCCTGCCGTCAGCTTTAACTTCAAACGGAAAGGGAAGCATATATGTAAATATATAAAAATATTTTTTTCTTCTATGCTGGTATCACTAATCATTTTATATAAATGCATTGGGGCCTATAACCTTAACAGTTTTTAGACAAGTTGGGTCAAACCATTATGGCTGGAGCGCAGTTTTATTTAAGTCATTTCAGCAACTTTTAGTGAACATGGACGGCCCTGAGCAATATTAACGAAACAGTTCTCTCTTCTCTGGGCTGCCCTCCTCTTCAATTAATTTCCCTTTTCCCCTCTTAATGCCAAAATGATCCCTAGCTCCCAAAGGGAAGACCCCCACTCTCCCAAGAGACAGCACTCTGAGCTAGAACCTTCTTTGTCACCTATTCAATGTTGCATTTCCTTAGCTCAGCCCTGTTCTCCCTACCCACTGTGGTAGATTAATTCATGCTGAGATGCATATGGCGGAAAAAAAGTGTTCCCTCTCCCTAAAGTATGAACATTTTATAAAGAACCTCCTAGTGGTAGGTTCTCAGGTGCCATAGTGCATGAGCATTCTTGTAAGATATTTTATAGAAGGCTATTCCAGCAAGTTTCTCCACTGGCAGAACCTCCAAAGTCCTGTAGCACACCTATGGATAAGAAAAAT